TGAGGAGAGCAGTGGGCAGGTCAGGAGATTCTGTTGTGCCATGTGGGTGACCGCCTGATTTTAAACCTCAAATCTACACTCTGAAACTGTGTTGTCTTGGCCAAGTTACTTAAGAGATCATCTCATCTGTAGGATTAGGATAAAATCAGTTCCTAAATATACAGGGGTTTTGTGATTACCAAATGAATTAATTTATAGGAAAGAGCTCAGAACAGTAACTGGCACACAGTATAATTTCATGTTACTTAAGCTATTATATAATGCTTTGATAACTTAAGGAAGGAAACATACCTCAAATTACAGAATTGCATGGAAAGCACTCTGCAGATTAATGAGCTAGTATTTTCTCCTGCTTTAGAAAAGACACTATATGGAGACAAAATTTCTTGTGGCAATATTTAAATTAATTGTTCATTGGAAATATTCACTTGTAAAAGGACCACTCTATTACTAAGACAGTTTTTAAGTTAAAAGAACCACTGAAAAAAAAATTGAAATAATTCACAGGCACCTTACCATTGGAACAGTTTTTGTCCTGAACATTAAGTCAAAATCAATTAAGGGAACATCATTAAGCAAAAAATTAGATTACATTAAAGAGAATCATTCTAAGAGGAGGAAGATAAATGAGAACAGCTTATTATTTGCTATTTACCTGTATAGCTACATTGCAAATATGTAAGTACTGAGACAGCTACTTTCCAACAGATTGGAAAACAGATTTAATACAGACATTTTGATCAGGACTCCTACTAAAACAGAGCTTTAAAATTCAAGCTGACTAATTTGTGATTATGTACAATTGATATTTCTAAGCAAATGGAGTATGGGGGAGGGGGAGTGTTTGAGCCTGTATCAGTAGGTATCCAGAGTTACAACAATGGAATAATCATCACTGGACATTTCTCCTATGTCACTTCTACTGTGAATTAAGCACGAATGGACAGTCCATTTCATCAGTCCAAGCGCGGAGACCCTTCTTGATACCCCATTGATGGCAGTCAGACTCGGCAACACCACTTATTACTGAGAACTCTGATCTTTGTCTAGCCCTTCCGTCCAAGCCCAAGTTTCACCTTCATTCATTTCCAAATGGAGCAGCACACAAATTTCGAAGTGAATTGTGACTCTTCTGCCACTAGATGGCAGAAGGTGACCACGGACTACATTCGAAGGAACAGCCTGAGCTGGCAAGTTAGTGGGAAGCTGCTGAGACTACAAGTTAAGCCCCAGAGACCTACCTCGTCCATGGAAGATTTTTTACAATCATCATCGTCGTCGTCGTCATCGCTTTCTGTATCAGCTTCCCCTGTCAAATTTTAATAACAGGTCATTTACTGTTTTGAAGCAAGTACTGTGCATTACCAAAAATTTCCTTGGAAGTTGGCCTTTCACAGTTTTAAAATAATTCTTTCGGATATTTCAGTTTTACTACAGAGAACTTTTAAATTATACTAATTTTTTTTCCACAGTGATTTTTCCCCCCTAAATTCCAAATCCATGCATATCATTTGAAATATCCAAATTCATAAAAAAACAGTTGTCGGTATTCTTATCTATATTCTTCTTAAAACATTTGCTCTATATGCTTTTCAAATCTGTTTGGAATCTATACAGTAAGCTTGGTTAGCAAGAGAGGTATCCATCTTATCTGATGTATATACTCTTTTCTGGGTCTTTATGACTCTAAACTAGATAAATGACCACAGTCCTTTCATCTGATGTTTGGCAGGCACTCAATGACATCGTGGCTATGCTCCCAAGGTCTCACAGGAATCAGAAAGCAGTGGGATGTTGGCACACTGACTTCACAAAAACTGAGCCTGTATCAGTAGGTACCACCAATATCCTATAGTTTGCCTGCAGGCTTTGTCGATGAATGTAATGTCTTTGTCTAAACGTGACCATCTTCTAAAAATATATATTTAAAAAGGCAGGATAAAAAGGTCAAATCCTTAAAAATCATTGTTCTGCAAATCTAACTCAGTGAGACAGAATTCTGTTTCACATTTACCCAATAGATAGTTGCTCCAATGGACAGTTTTCCTCTTTGAAAATTGCTGAATGATTCTGCTGGGTTAAATATTACACAAGCATGCATCATATTCTTCCATATTTCTGGTCTTAGTCAAACCCAGTAAAATTAGTTAGTATGAAAAAAATTCAAGCGAAAAGTAAAGAAAGCATAACTAAAATGTTCGGTTTATTTTTCAAGATTCACTCAGTGCAATAACATGAAGATTCCAGTAGAGGGCAATATTAGCACAAGAATGAGGCAAGTTGGATTGACAAGCATTTCCCTCCTAGCCTTTTGAAAGTTAGCTGCCCAGCTCAATTTAAATAAAGGACACAGTGCCCACAGCACTGTCTTCCAAGATGCTTATAAATGTTTTCATTTTGGCTGACGAAGTTTAATCAATTACTGAGTGATAGCAGTGAGCAAAGTATTCATAAAATATCTTCAGAGGGAAAAGATTTCTGGAACTAACAAGGCTTATTATTTACAACTTGTATATTAAAGAAAGCCACATAACAATCACTTTATAGTGCTGACATTAGTTAATAAGATTAACCAACTATACTTAAGAACCAAAGCATATTAGCAGCAGATTATTTTAGGAGGTTGGCACTTAAATGTTTTTCATAATCGAATTTGTTATCCCAAGTTAAGAATTTATTGGTTTTGGAGAAGAAATTATTTTTATCATTAAAAATTGTTTGGCAGCACTGTCTACATATGCTTCATGGGACACAGCATTATGCCAATCAACTCAATTACTCCACGAAATCATTCTTTGGTTTATGTGGGAGAGAAACAAATTTTTTTTTTTTCCTGTGAGCAGAGTGATTATTTTTCCCTTAGAAGTCTCTGAAGGGACCTTGGAAGAATCGTGTCGAATTGTTAAAAAAAAAAAAATCAGAAAAAAACCTATTGCTTTACCCTATTTCTTTAAAACAAGTGCACTGGCAAAGGTCTGCTGACCACGAGGGGCCAGGTAAAGTAACTAAGTAAGTTTTGAAGTAATCACCATTTACAGCTTTTCAAGAGTTCCCAATCCTGAGGATAGCTACAAACCACATGGTAAATTAGCTGTTTCCTTATTCAGGGAACTACCTACATATTAAAAATGTCCAAAATTTTCCATTGAAATAAATGCGGATTGCACAACAGACTGAGACCAACTTAGGAAATCTACTGAATTACTAACAGATTGCTGCTCTTTCTCTGTATTAAGCAATAATGTTCACTGCCTGTAAGGATCGTTATTTGTGTTAATGTATCCAGTTAACAGGAGAGAACTGGTAGCAGGAAAGGCAGATGGTAAAAACAACAGCTCCCACATACAAAGGAAGCCGGGTTTACACGCTATATTCAAGAGGTAGAATTATGTTAGGAAATAGGGGACCTTGCTAAAAGATATTGGTTCCAAAACTTTAAAAGGAAAAGATATTGGTTCCAAAACTTTAAAAGGAATGTCCTTATTGAAAACAAAAGCTATTTTTGAAAAATGAATCAGAATTGTATAATACAGTTTGAAATACACGTTTAAAAACTACCAACAAAAAAACCTTTCAAAGAATTATATAATGATTGTTGGATAAGGATTTTCAGGATTTTCCCCTTGAATGGAAAAACAGAGATAAATCAGAGGGTTGCCCTAAAATGTATGCTTTCGTTATTTTAAAATCTTTTGACATATGACAGTTATAGGGAGGCATATACCTATCGTAAGTGTACAGTGCAGTGAATTATCACCAGCTAAATAGGTCTTAGCAACCAGCTCAAACAAGAAACAAAATACCAGTGTTGAGAAGCCCCCTTGAGTTTTCCTTTCTCACATCTTCCTCAAAGGTCACTATATTCTGACTTCCAAGAGCACAGGTTAGTTCTGCTTGTTTTTGACATCTACACAAATAGTATGTGATATCACAAGATACAATTTGTTTGATTTGATATCTTTTGCCCAACATTATGTTCCAGCTCCCATATTGTGGTGTGAGTTAGAGAACATTACTGCTGCATAGTTCTCCACGTTGTAAAAGAAATACTTTCACATTTTTTTTTTTTGTATGTGTTAATGGGTAGAGTTGGTTTTCAGCTTGGTTATTCTGAATAGTGCTGTTTTCTGCAATTTTTGTTTCCTTATGAATGGAATCTCTGGAGCACAGGGAGAGTATATTTCTTTCTTCTTTTTTTGTTTATGCATACAGAACTGGGGTACAGGCCAGAGGTGCAGGGGCAGTGAGAGGATTCATCAGAGACAGAGCGGGGAGCAGAACAGGCCAACTGACAAAGTACACTGCTGAGAGGAGCAGAGGGTGGTCGGGGGAAGTCTGCTGCACCATGTGGATCACCTCTGGGGCAGGCAGGAATCGAACTCATGCTTCAGTGGCTTTAGCTTCTTAGTGCTCTAACCCGGTGTGCCACCAGAGAGGGCCCAGGATAGTATATTTCTAACTTTTGTAGATACATTCAACAACATGGATGGAACTGGATTACAGTAAGTGAAATAAGTCAAGGGAACAAAGATAAATATGGGATGATTACTCTCATGTGGAATATGAAAGACAAAGCAAAGTGTTTGTTCCGACGTTAAACTTTTCATTGAAGAATTTCCTAGATTTAAACTTAACGTTTCCTGCATTTGTTTGCCCTGCAACCAGATCTTTGTAATGCACTTTTAGTTTGCCAGTGTTCTGAATAAACTTCAAAAATTAATTAGATTAAATGACAAATAATTCAAAGGAAATGGGTGACCGCTGTGGTGACTGAAAATCCTTTTCTCAGTAGCCAGAACTATCTATTTCAGCATAAATCAAAAAGGAAAATGAATAAGCATCGCCTAATAGTTTGGAAAGAGAATCCAAGTAACTTTGTCATTTTACATGTTAAAAAACTGTGGGTGAGGCCCTCCCTGGTGGCGCAGCGGATTAAAGCACAGCACTGAGAATCTAAGGCCGCTTCCGCATGAGTTCGATTCCCGCCTGCCCCGGAGGTGACCCCATGGCGTGCCAGACCTCTCCTGATCCGCCCGCTGCTCCCCTCAGCAGTGTACTTCGTCGATCTGCCTGTTCTGTTCCCCACTCTGTCTCTGGTGAAGCCTTTCGCCGCCCCTGAGCCTCTGGCCTGTACCCCAGTTCTGTATGCACAAATAAATCTTAAAAAAAAAAAAAAAAAAACTGTGGGTGAGTGGAACAGGTTCACCCAGAACCTTTTTAACATGTGAAATGATGAAGTTACTTGAATTCTCTTTCATTATTGTTAGGCGATGCTTATTCATTTCCCTTTTTGATTTAGGCTGAAATAGACAGCTGTGGCTACTGAGAAAAGGATTTTCAGTCACCACATAGGATCAAAACAGGGGTAGGAAGAGCACAAGGGACTATGCTGATGGCACACAGGTGAACTGCTGGTGGGAATTCCACGGGGGTTAACCGACCTGAAAATGCATACATTGTAGAACTATGAAGAACTATGTAAAAAATATATATATATTTAAAAAAAGGCTCTGGGTGAGTTTAAATAGCCTCAGCACATCAAAGAGAATGCATTCACTGAACATTCTGTGCCCAGTCCATAGTTAATGTCAAGGGATTATTGACCCCAAGGAGCTTAAAATCATCACACAAATCAAACTCTGGTTTATGAGGTAGCCAGAATCATGGCCTCTTCAAAACAGCCATGTCCTGTGAATATGATGCCTTATATGACAGAAGGGACTGCAGATGAGATTAAGTTAAGAACCTTGAGAAGGGGGAGATTATCCTGGATTATCTGAATTGCTTCAGAGTAATGACAAGAGTTTTTAAAAGCACAGAACTTTTCCAAGTTGTAGTCAAGGGGAGATGTGACAACAGAAGTGTAACAGAGATGTGACATTGCCAGCTGTGATGCTGGAGGAAGGGGAACATAAGCTAACAGACGTGGGTGGCCTCAAGTTGGAAAAAAAAAACAAGGGATAAAAGTTTTCCTTAGAGGCGCAGAAAGGAACACAGCCCTGCAGCCATCGGAGCTGAGCTAGTGAGACCCTTAGTGGTTTTCTGAACTGCAGAACTGGTGAACAATATGTGTGTGTGTAGTTTTAAGTCACCACGTTTGTTGCAGCAACAGAAAACCAATACAGCTTCAAACTATATCCAAGCTCTGTTTTTAACATCTTGAGACATCACCATGCTGTTTTCCAGAAAAGCCAGACTAGTTTATATGAACAGGATACAAGGTTCCTATGCTTACCATTTGATTCAGGTATCTCCCTGAAGAACACAAAAACATGAACTCACAGGGACATCTGCATCCCTATGCTCCCTGAAGCATTATTCATAACAGCCAAACTATGGAAACAACCTGAGCGTCCAAGGACAGAAGAATGACTCAGGAATATGCACTATATTCCACAACGGAACACTACTCAGCTATTAAAAAGGTGGATGCCTGCCTTTTGTAACAACCTGGATGGAACTGGAGGGGATTATGGTAAGTAAAATATAAAAGACAATGCAAAGGATCTGAGAAAAGCCAGCCCTTGAAATATGACTGCTGAGCTAAGACTACCAGAAAAAAAGAGGGCTAGATGCAACGGTGGAGGGGACACCATGGACTATGGGAGAGAATTATGGGTATTTGGTAGCTGAGGTGGTATGATAACATACATTTGTAATGTTTTGAATAGATACTATGATGAAAAATACAGTCTTGTAAACCAGTGTTTGCCTCAATACACATAATAAAAGCATGAAGTAAAAAAAAAAAAATTCCATCCAAGTAGAAATGCTATAAGCCCTTATTAACTCATTGTGAGTAGCACTTATAAATCAGCACATAACAGGAATGCTCACCAGCTCCCGGAGATGATGGCTCAAACACACTAGAGGAGTCACTGTATGTGTTGGAGGCTTGTTCTGAGAGCTTCTTTTTGCCACTTCCTTCTGACGACTTGTGTGACTTCTTCTTATTTTTCACCAAAATTTTGTACATTAAATCCATAGGACTTGGGAGAGGAACTCCAGATTCCAGCTAAAGGAAAATAAAACATATTCTTTCAAAATATTCTCTCTTCCTCTGGCTTGCCCCCCAAATTCCATGCTCTTGGTGCCAAGAGCTTCTAGATTACTCTTTACTGCTTTCAACACAGCTCATTAATACTGTTGGGTGTGGGTCATACATGGAGTCTAGTTAATAGATCTTTCTTTCTTCATATGAAAGATCCATCTAAACTACTATACTCATACTTCTACAACAGAATCTACATGAAGAAGATAATAGATTTGGGGAGCTAGCCCAAACTCTCCCGAGGACCACAAAAATCCAACCATCTTGATTTCAGACTGCTAACAGGTCCCTGGCCTGAATTTTCAAAAAAGGGAAGTCAGTTAACTCCTGACTTTTCTGATACAGTTTAAAAGCAACAAAATCCCAATTCTGGCAGCAGGTAAATTTAGTTTGTAATCTACTTGGCATTAGCAAAAGTGGACTGGGTGGTTTCATATTTCCTTCCATCCCTAAGAATCAAGCCATCCTTATTTGCAAGCCATACTTCTAGAGTTTCTATCTTGTGCATCTAATGAGAAAATCAATTTCCCATGAGAAGATTATTAGATATTGTATCAGAGAGCATGAGTGCCTGTCTCAAGATGAGTTATTTTTAGAAAGTCTACTGGACTCCCGAAAGTTGGCTCTCTATTCTTTGCTTACAGTGAGTCTGGAACTGGAATGAAATCATGTTAAGAATGTGTGAAGAAAGGGTCTAAGAGGAAAAGACTGTGTTAGGATATTTCTGTGCTTTCCTTTCCAAGGCAGGGATGTTAGTCCAGCCCTGAATGGCCTCAGTTCTGGTATATCATAGGCCGAAGCCAGAAAGTGTCCAGTGGCTAGTGGCAACAGGCAGCATGTCCTTGGGTCACCTGTAATGTCCCATTTTGTTTACCCATTTCTCTCAATGGGGCTTGGTGAGGTTCCCAGAAAGTCACATAGTCCTCTGTCCTTGGACTGTTCCTGTGACCTAGTGGTGATTGTGGGAATTCTACAGTCCTGACTGGGTCCCCTCTGGCAAGGAAGAGGGATAAGAACCTTGGGCAGAGGAAGCAAGCAGTGTGTTACACTTTTGGTGTCTACTTGGTCAAAGCATTAATCTAAGAAAAACAAACACGTAAAGGACATATGAAAATTTCCCCCAACTCCAACCACATCCATTTCTTTGGGGGTAAATATCAAAACTTCTTACTGGGTATTTTTCCAGTGGTTCCATGAGAAGGGCATCCCCAAAGATCAGTCGGCAGTACTCGGCCATCTTGGCTTGCTGCTTTGGGCTAAGAGAGGAAGAAGAGGAAAAAATAAAAGCAAGGACATATGGGCAAAGAGTCTGGATGGGATTAGTTTGTACTGTTAATTCTAGAAGGAGGCAATTCCCTCGTCCTACCATTTAGGATGATTTTCATCCTTTCCGATCCCTTGTTGATGTTTCTGGATTCGAATAACACATCGGTGAAAGCTAGAAGCTATATCTAAGGCTGAACCACAAAGACATCTGTGGAAGGGACAGCAGATCATTTGCCTGTCACTGGATTTTTGAATGTCCTGCAGAGACTCGGTCCCTTCTGCTTCTTTTCCTGATTCTAAGTCAAACACAAGACATGATAGCTAGTTCATATCTCCATACTAACGCTTGGGTGAGATTTGCCAAACAGAGATCTCTGCTACAAAGCCATGTTAACAAGGAGATGAGGGCAGGGATGAGAGGGAGGAAGGTAAGAAGGTGGACAAAGCGGGAAAGAGAAAAAGACAGAGTAAGGAAGAGAGGGAGAGCGAGAGTTGGAAGGTGGAAGGAGAGGGAGAAAGGGAAGCTTGGTGGGAGAGGAAAGAGGAACCTCAAAATGAAGAAGGGAAATGGCGGGTAGCAGAAGAGTACCTACTTGGAGTGGATCCTAGAACAGGGCAGAGAAGCAGGCACCTTGGGAAAAGGTATCTGCAGTTCTTATGTGCATAATAAGGAAGAAAAGGTGGTGTCAGCCTGATTAAGTATCCAGAGGAACATGTTCTGATGGAAAAAAAGCTGTGGCTGCAGGTTTGATATAAAAGAACCTCCATGTTTTCCCAGTATTTCTACTTCCTTTGACCTTTTAAAAGCAGGAAAAAATCTCATTCTGCAGAATGTTAACTACCATTATAAAGGTATCCAATTTCCCCCCAGTTTTATGGACTGTGATTTTGATCTATAGGCTGTCAAATTCAATCTCCAATAGTTGTTCCTACATGCCACCGTGTTAATACATTTGAACAGAACTGAGACTATAGGAAGTACCAGTAAATACTAAGAGCCTTCCTTCTTATGGTTAAAGTCAATTATAAGACATAATTCTTCCTTTAATTCCTCTTCTATAAATGTTAAGCCTGGATCATGTACTGTTTTTTCCTGGGGGATGGTGCCGGAGAGGTTCAAATCCTATTACGTTGGTTCATGGGGAAAAGGGCTTTTGACAGGCCTTTAAAAAAAAGCACAGGATATATTTGGGAGAGCCAAATGAGTTTTCTGAGGTTCAAATATGAGTCTGAGATCATTGCCTTCCTGGAACTACACAGAGAAGCAAAGGAGATGTTCTCAGAAGCTGCAATGTCTGACACAACAACCTCCCAGGTCTCATCATGCCTTTCTTGATAAGTATGAGATTGCACTGCATGGCTTAAGTAGCACTCAGAACATACAGCAGCATTCTTTAGGGAGAGAAGAAAGCCTGCCAATCAGAGAACAGATCTTAGACAGCACTGGAGTGTTTGCTGACTGACAATCTGTTAAAAGTCTAGAACACGCAAGAGAAGTGGCTTTCTCGCCAGAGCACCCAGACACATGCTTGCTTGAAGGCTCACTGGCCTGGGGGCTCAAACATGTCAGCTGGCTCCGGGGCTGTACCTGAGACAAGCCCACTGTGCTGGGCCCATGTGCTCCAGCTTCTACAAAACAAACTATCAAAACCTGAATAGCCCTATTAACTGTTCACAGGCCACTAGCATTAGTGGCACCTAACGGCTGGTTAGACATGCAGATTTGAAGTCTCCACTACAAATTCTGAATAAGAATCTTGGGGGAAGTTGGACTCAGCATCTGTATCTTAATAATCCCTCTGTGTAATTCCCATGCACTTTCAAGCTTGAGAAACCCTGTGAGAAAGTGAGTTGACAAATATCAAGTAGGTGATATTTTTCCTGAGTATCAGAACTTGGGAGCCTCAAGTTCCTTTGATCAGATACCTGGATAAATCAGCAGTGTTCACCCTCCTGGGGTGCTCTGTTCTGGGGATTTCTTGAGGAATCATATTTTCACCTGTAGTAGGATTATGGGAGGTGTTCCTAAGTCAATGACAGGCAGAGTCCTTTGTCCAGTGCACAGAGTCCCCATAGCAATTCCACTAAAGAATAACCTGAATGTTAATGTTGCAAGTGGCAAGACTTAGACCGAGGCCTATTATTCTGAGCTGGGAGGAGATCCCTGCATTTGTAACAAGCCTGTAGGAAATGGAGATATAATGGACCATAGTGGGGTGCTAACACTCCATTCAAATCACCAGGATCTTTAGAAAACAAAGATTCCAGGCAGAGTCTAGCACAGTGGCCTAAGATTCTGCATTTCTAACAACAAGTCCCCCAAATAATGCAGATCAATTGCATTGTGCAGAACAAGGATTTCAACCTGACCTAGACTTTTGAAAACTGGCCCCAAATCAATGGAGATGAAAAGAAAAAGTGGCAGGTATCCAAAAAAAATGTAAAATGTGCTGTTCAGTAATTAGGTTCATCATGTTCTTCACAAACACAAGCCTAGTATCAGAACAGAGAGCCAATGGAATAGAGTCACAGGAAAACAAAACAACTTTAATTGTGAATCAGAACTAGATATAAAAGGTATTATCATTGCAATTAAAGAGTCAAAAAAGTCTTGAAGCATTTACAGCATTAACATCAGCTACCATGGAGACAAAACAAGAGGAAAAGAGTCACAGAAATATTTTAAGCTTTGGCCTACTGGACTTAATAAACCAGCCATAAAGTGAAGGCACTTGATAAAATAGTTTATTTTCTGACCAAGGAACGTGGCCCATGGCATGGTGTGAATCCTCCATGTTGATGTCAAACCAATTCCCTCTCTTACAGATGAAGAATCTACAGTTCAATAAATGAAGGGCCTGAACAACACTCCACAGTTTGGCCAAACCAGAGCTAGAGCCACATTCCTGAAACTGAGTAGAGTGCTTCAGTGGAAAAAATTAGGTGCAGTATCAGAGCTAACAGAGCTGTTTGTTTTTTAAACATTAATATATCAAAGACTCATTTCTATAGATTTGAATTCAAGCATGGGAGTGTGGGTTGAGAATTTGCTCGTTATGGGGAATCTGAGGTAACAGGTGAAAGAGGATAAGTTAATAGCAGCTAAAGCAAGATTTCCTGGATTTCTTTTTTTCCTTTGTGAGTTTATTGTTGATGAACCATTGATGATAGAGTTCAAATTGGGTAAGACCAGAGTCTGAATTTGGTGTTCTGTAGTTGCAAAAAACAAAACAAAACACAAAACAAAACAAACAAAAAAACAGAGGAAAAAATGGTTCACTAGAGAGGGCAAACAGATTTCAGACATGTTTGGGAGTGTTGGGAGTGTGTCTCAGGATACTTGTTTAGAAAGATTTTAAGGTTCCATGTAGAGTTGGTGGGGGTGGAGTGCAAGAGTGTGGTAGCTTCTGCCTCTGAGTTCAGCAATGAGATGAGGTGACCCACTTGGCAAGCACAAGGTTTTGTGAGTGGAGAGAAAACTTCATCAGTTTTCTTTGGGCCTGTGACAGTTCTAGGAAAGAACAGACTGAGTGATGTTGGTATCAAGGGACAATAGTAAGGCGAAGCAAACAACTTCCTCCCACACCAGAATTCAGTTTCTTAGTATTGTACTCCCATTATACTACCTAATATTTTGGAATTAAAATCATGGAATCCTGGGGAGGTTTTCCTGTTGTTTTGTTGTGTTACATATGAATCATTAATGAGCTTTTAATAGCTAAGTCTCTCATTTTTAAACCAGAAGGGGTAGTATTATGACACTATCTTCTTTGCTTTTGTGTACAATGTAGGGTTTAATCTGCATGCTCAGTACTTGTCTCTGTGTCTGACTGGCATGCTGATTGCAAACATCCAAATGTGATTAAAAGCCAAATGTGTACATTTGCAGATACCTGTTTTCGGGATGTGCTGGTTGTTTTAATTCTGTTTTGAAGTTTCACAATTTTTCTGCTTAGGCATAGGGGATGATATTTGGTTAAACAGTTGAGTTGTAAGCCAGACTAACTGGCAAATTACTCATTGTCTTAGACACTCATCTGTAAAAATAACCACAACCTTTCTTTTTAGGAGCATATAGGTTTGGGATGAAGGTCACATGAACTTCTTGGAATGCTGTTTGACATAATATATGTTCAATGAGTATTAGTTCTATCATGCTGTTGGTGTTGGTGCTGTTAGATACCTCTTAAGTTACTTATGACAACAGGGATGGATACAGGGCTTTTCACTTTGTCCGATTTATATAGAAACGTTTAAGAAAATAAGTATGCTAGATGTTTTTTCTTACAATAGGAACAAGCCTGGAAACTGCACTGCCTAAAAGAAAGGTGCTAACAATTACAATGAGCAGAAATGAGAATGTTCCAGGAAAGTCATCTACAAAATCAGAGTTGTTGCAGCAAATGAGATATTAAATACAGAGACCAAGAAGTGTTCTATTTAGTTAGAAGAGAAATAGAAGTGGAATGCATTTTTCCTTCAACTGCCCTCAGAAGTGCTAGAGAACTATGTGCCAAATGATGACATTATTCATTGGCTGATTGTTTCAGAATGAAGCAGAATCACAAGCTGGTAAATGTAATATGGATTTCCTGAGGGCAAACTAGAATACGGGGTGATTATAAAACGGGTTACTTCCAAATAAGGTGTCTCTCCACGCACACATTAACAAATTGTGACATTTAACTAGTTAGAAATTCCTCAAGCTGAAGCTCAAACTGCTTAAATTTCAGTGAATTCTTTAAGAATTAATGAACTGATGCATGTGTTGCAAATTAGCTGGACAAAGGGAATCAGTGACTGGGGAAAGACTTTCAATAGGAAGCAGGGAGAAAAAGGTATTCATGAGCTAATTTAGGAAAGGTGTTATTGGCTGCAGTTGAGAGATCTGGCTTAGATTGTAGAAGTGCAGGCGAAGGCTTCACAAGTGTTCTTTTGAGAAAATATGTCTATAACCATGTATTCTTCAGCTATTAATTCTATTCCATGAACTGGGATTTTAGTTTCTTGAAATTTAATTCAATAAAGAGAAGAATCTTTCATTTTGAAGCTCTTTAAATTAAGTAGTTATATGAAAAGCTAATATCCATGTATTAGATATAAATGTGTCCTACTCTGGTAATTTGTGATCAAATGAATATAAAACAGTTACACCAAAATTGTCTTTCTGTGTGTCATTCAATAGTAAGTGCAGGCAATTTAAATAGGAAAATGTTTATTACAAATATTAACAAGCAGGAGAACCAATGGGAAGAGAAGGAGGGAACACAGAGTCTGCATTCTGTGTAAGTGCACAGTGGCAGAACGGAGTTACAGCTCTCCCTCCACCACTCCAACCTGCAGGGGGCAGGCCATTTTTGTGTAGAAGATTATCTATAAATTTGTGCTCAATGGATGGAACTAATAAAGGAAGATTATTCAAGTGACCCACTGCAATAGACACATATTGAATAAAGAAATGTGTTCCACTACATTGTAAAAAAAAGAATCCAAAGTTCCTACTATGGCACTAAAATAGTTTCCACAGTCCAATGGGTTATTTTAATGTAAATGAGATTTAAACAAATGAATTTAATCATATATAGATAAAAAAAGTGCCCTTTGACATAGAACATAATTGAAGAACACTACTAATAATGCCAAATAACCTTAATCTAATGAACAATTATTAAATATGCTCTATTTGGAAAAGAGATTCAAATGTATCAAATACTTACGAATCCACATGGTTTTCAAATGAAAGGAGAATTGGGAAAGGTGAAGTCTTAAACGCGCACTCAGCGATTGCTTCTATTACTTCCTAAAAATAACAACAAATGTGTATTCAATAGGTCAGGATGTTAATATATATTTTTGTTCCCTTTGGGGTTATACCCATTAAAATGATTGTCTTTTTCATTCACAAGATTGTAACACATAACGTGAAATACCTAGAAGAGGTTATAAAAGCTACTAGGGTGTAAATTTTCTGACACTAGACTTATTAGCAAGGTAATAAAAAGAAGAGAGACCATCAGATTTTGGTGGAAGGGGAGATACAACTATGAAGAGAATTGTTCCTATATATGTTAATTCTACCTATTTATTGTTTATAATGACATAAACTAATCACATTATAAAAATTTAATCAAAAGGATAAAAGGGTTTACCTATAAATTCAACTTCTGAGCCAACCTTCAAAAGTTGGCATTTAATTACTTCTAGTTTGCTTTTCATGTATTCATGTGTTAGTCTTTAATTACAGTAAATATACTTTTTTTCAGCACTGTTAAGATATGATGTTATTGAGGCATAGTTCATCCAATTAAAGTTTACGATTGAATGCTTTTTATCCACAGAGCTGTACCGCCATCATCCTGATCTAGGTAAGGACATTAATATCACCTCAAAATGAGACCATATCTTAGCAGTCATTTCCCACTGCCCCATCCTCTCCCTTACACACAACTTTAGGAAACAATACATCTACTTTGGGTCTTCATAATTTGCATAAACCAAAAATTTCATTTTAATGCAATCATATAATACATGGCCTTTCATGTCTGGTACCTTTTACTTAGCATGCTTTCAATATTCATCCACATTGTAAAATTTATCAGCACTTTATTCTTCAATCTATATTTCTGAACAAATGTGCATGTCATAGACTTTAGTATCTGTGTAAATTCTAGGGAGTAAAGTATCATTATTGATTTAACCATTGCTTGTTAGACAAATTTTAAGTGCTACCGTTCAAATAATTCTAAAACAAACCATCATTTCCCCCTAATATTATGAATTATATTTCAGGAATAAATTCTCAGGGAGGGAATTATTGACTCAAAGAACAAGAATGCCTTGACAGTCTCTTGTGCTTTTCTAAAATTACTTTTCATCTTAGATTGCTTAGAATAATATATGAAGGACCAGATTTCAAAACATATTTACTAGCCGTGAGCATTACTTTTTTAAATGTTTTTCTTATTGACTTGGTCTCAAAGTGCAATCTCATTTATTTTTAATTATATCACTGTCAGCACTACGTGGTTTCTATAATCATACTTTTGTTTTTCAGTTGCATCTATCCTTTTCATATTATTCTTTCAAGTAGGAATTTCCATTCTCATTTTTTATGCATGAGTCTTTTTCACTGTCTTCTTGACCTTCTAATTTTTTTTAATTGCAGGAACACTGGTTTCCAGTAATATATATGATTCATCGGGATAAGAATCACACCTTTCAAATATATGTCACTACACTACACTATCACCAAGGCACTTCTCTACCTTCTTAAACGATACACAGCTTTCTAATATCCAAGTCCAGAAGCTATTTCCCTGATCCCAGGGTATAAATAAGACTTTCTAATTCTGTACTACATTTGCATATGTCCTCTAAGAAGAATCTGGCTGTATGGAGCAAATGAAGCACTCTCACTGATTTTTAGAAGTACATTCACAGATTGCCTTTCATACATTATCAGTCTTTTATGATAGTTGATGCTATCAAAAATAAGTGCACTATAAATAGCACGTAATACTAAAATTTTATGTTCTTTATGCGATTTATTTGAGCACAGGCTTTGAATTCCAATAGACTTGCGTTTGCATCCTACTTCTTAGACTCACAAGGTGAGTGACCTTGGAAAAATCACTTAATGTCTGTTTGCTTTGACTTGCTGACTCATAAAGTGAGGGTGATAAATCTCATTCCACAGGTCTGTTGGGAAGGGACAGTGAAAGAAGGCAAAGGACCGAGCTTATGGTGGGCATGATTCTCAAATCAACTAAAGTTACTTACAGTGCTGGCTCTTCCCTCCACATTTACCCTAGTCTTTCCCTGTTTGCCTCTTTCGAATAAGAGCAACTATTCATTTGAACATGTCTTATGATCTAGATACATCTCTTATCTCATCTGACAAACATTCCGCAAGGAAAAAACTATCTGCCATTTTACAGATTACACAGTGGCATTAGATTCAAAATCACCAAGAGGAGAATGCAAGGAATCCCAGGAAGCTTTGTCTGACTCAGGGTTTATCTGCTTAATCACTGCAGTAACACTCATGCAGCTAATGACCTTAACCATCTAAGATCCAAAGAATTGAGAACAGGACAGACATAAAGGAAGGGGGTGGTAAGTGCAGGAAAAGAAGAGCTAGATTTTATTTCATAACTGTGGCCCTTGGTGTCAGTTAAAGTCAAACAAAACACATGGGCTCTCTTACCTCTTCTCTTTCCTTCACATCTTTAAGTTCATCAGTAATACTGCTCAATATATATTGAAAATATAACCACATTTCAGCTTCTTTTTATTTTTTTTAAAGATTTATTAATTTGTACATACAGAACTGGGGTACAGGCCAGAGGCTGAGGGGTGGTGAGAGGCTTCACCAGAGATAGTGGGGAGCAGAACAGGCAGATCGACAAAGTACACTGCTGAGGGGAGCAGCGGGCGGGTCAGAAGAGGTCTGCCGCGCCATGTGGTCACCTCTGGGGCAGGCGGGAATCGAACTCAGGCAGAAGTGGCTTTAGCTTCTCAGTGCAGTGCTTTAACCCACTGCACCACCAGGGAGGGCCAACATTTCAGCTTCTTATCTGCTGCCATTCTGATCCCAAAACCATTGCAGTAACTGGTATGGCAGATTTTATCATCATTCCACATATTCACTAGCACCTCCTATGGGATCTTTGATAATGACTTGACCACGTGTCTTCTTAGGACCAGTGAAATGTATGTAGAAATGACATGTTCTGCTGCTGAGCAAAGGTTTTAACATGGTGGTTCTGCCATTTCCCCTCTGCTTCAGCCAGTGACCCAGAGGCATTAAAGATTGAGAGTGTTCCTATATGAGCTATACACAATATCAATCAAAGTAACAGCCAACATCTAACCTGCATGAGAAATAAACCTTCTTTATTCTAAGTGATCAAGGTACTGAGGTTTCTTGTTATAACAGAAAAATTTAGTAAAGGTTGACGACTAATAGAGTCTTTTAAATGTTTTTCCAGCCTCCATATCTGTCCCTTGTCTGACACAGGACAGCCAGAGAGATGCTTCTAAACACGAGTCAGATGATTTCATTCTTCTAGGATGAACCTTTCTGACTTTCCATTTCACGGAGTGAAATCCAAGTCTGCTATCCGAACTGATACTTGCTCTATCTCTCAATTCATCTCTGTTTCCTGTTCACCATTCTCACCTTGAAACAGTCCTCTGGCCTTTTTTCTTTTCTTTGACTATCTCAAGAATGATCTCATCTCTGTTCATTTCTTTCATGTCTTTGTTATTTCTGGCAGGAGACCTCTTATCTGAAAGCAAGTCTTACATCCTTAATTTTGGGGGTGATGATCTCTATACAAGTGTCACACTACCCAAGATGCCTGCTGCACCACTTTTTACAACACAGTATACCTTTAAGCTCACTAATTTATGTCAGCATATAGAGTGTATTTGCACATGCCATACAGTGTATTTATTTTAGTCAGTTGCTCTCCACTAAAATGTAAGGTTATAGAGGGTAAGTGCTTTGTTTTTTTGTACTGTTCTGTCCATAGCGTTATTTAGGAAATGCTAAGGCTAGAATGCATTCTAAATGCTCACTAAATAGTTTCAAATGAATGAGTGAACTATTAAAAAATTCTTAATGGAAGAGAAACATATTTTATCTAGTTGTCTTCCATTTATTCTTCTACTGATTCATTCAGAGGTCAGCACTTTTTTTTCTTTATTTTATAAAGTTTCAGACAGTAAAGCATTTAGGCTGGTCATATAGTTTCTATTCCAGCCACTCAGCTCTGCCTTTATAGCCTCAACACAACCACAGATAATAGGTAAACCAGTGGGTGTAACTATGTTTAGAAAAAAACTTGTTTTACAAAAATGGGTGTTAAGCTGAATGATGATAATTTGGTAAGCCCTGGACAAGGCTTAGCATTGGTTTCAGACAAGTTTATAAACCATTTGTAACCAAAGGTAAGTAATTTTGTATGAATGAATTTTGAATGTTGATTCTATACTCAGTGGTCCTCACCCCTTAACTTTAACATCTTCATGGCAGAAATTTCCAATCAAGCTTGAGTCTTACAATTAAACAGTATCTTTCAGGAAAAAAAGTATTTCAGTTGTAAGTATGAGTAGAGGTATAATTAATCTTTGACAGATTTTCTGAGACTGATTATATCTTTTGAGAAGATAATATCAAAGATATTTGAGAAGTTTCCCAATTGCTTTTAGCAATAAGTGGGATTATCAACTTGACCCATTAGCATTTGGGAAGTGAGAGTCAGGCCTCACAGGCCTCACTGGATTTCCTCAGAAATCCAGGATATCAATACCATTCAGCTCAAAAGAGAGCTTGAGCTGGTGAGGTAGCTTCTCCAAGTCCTTTAGCCAGTAGGTGGGATAGTTAGTATTAGAACCCTCCCTGATGATTGCAGAATTATGGTTTTAATTTATGGTGCTCTATTTTATCTTCTTCACTCTTCTACCTGCCAGGCTCTCCCCATTTCTATCATAATTTTACCACAAGCTGAGACCCTTTCTGAACCTTTAACACCAAAGAAAACATTTAGAACATTCCATCTAGTAGATTTAATTGGGAGTTCCTGAAAACTCCAGAGCTTCCATTGTGGGACTCCTGTTCTTTTATGCTTTTGGAATATGTTGCAAGGTGCCCAAGATGACTCAGGATGAGAAAACTAGGTCCAGGTTTTAAGTTTCGTTTTTGCATAGAAGCTAGCAATAGTGGATGGTGAATATGGAAATGTATTACTGCCTGATTGCTCCTTTTTTTTTTTTTCAAGATTTATTTATTTGTACATACAGAACTGGGATACAGGCCAGAGGCTCAGGGATGGTGAGAGGCTTCACCAGAGACAGAGTGGGGATCAGAACAGGCAGATCGACGAAGTACACTGCTGAGGGGAGCAGCGGGTGGGTCAGGAGAGGTCTTCCACGCCATGTGGTCACCTCCGGAGCAGGCGGGGATCGAACTCATGCGGAAGTGGCTTCTCAGTGCAGTGCTTTAACCCACTGCACCACCAGGGAGGGCCCTGATTGCTCCTTTTAAGCCAAAACTGTTTTTCAGAGATGTCTAACACTGGATCCGGTAATCTATAAACCATATGGCTCAGTTACTAACCTCCAGTGAGAAAAATTGCCCTTGAAATCCTTTATCCTTGACAGACAACAGCAGGGTGTATGTGGATATCCACTTGATGAGAGCATTTATGCAGCAGTGAAATCACATCCTAAATTATTATTATTTCTCCCAGAGAATCAAGCTTTATTTCCAGAAATGCTTGATTTAACAACATACTCAAATGTTAGATATTTTCATCATATATTTTGATCACATTATCTAGTTTTCTATTTTGTACAATTGCTGGTTGCAAAAGACTTGTCTGAAGGGAGAAAAGAAGCTCATTTTGGGGTTGGGGTGGGCTGGTGGGTATCAAGCATAGGGTAGCAACAGATTGAATGGGAGCAGAGAGCAAGAAGACCAACCAATGAATTACTAAGTCATGACCATTAGAAAGATTAAGGCAATGAAGATATATGGATAAGTAATAATAAATTGAGAGCACAAAATAAAAATTTATCCATAAAGAGGCTAACTTACAGCATGTCTCCCTTTGCAGATCATGACCATTTACTTTTGCCCATAGAACAAATAGGCAATAAATGCCAATATGAACTTGCACTGTGGGGATATACTCTGAAATGGATTTCAAATACACAGGCTGACAGCAGATAAACTATGTGCATAAAAATGGTGAACTTCTGTCATGAGTTTATTTTACTGTTAGAATATGTGCTATGGCTATAGAATATAGTAAACTCCATCATAAAGTTTGGCTCCAAATACACAGAGTGGCCAACGTTTGCCTATCAAAATATTATACATGGGGTTTCACATGGGGAAAGAGAGAAAAATTCACATTCACTTAGCCAATGAAAAGAGGCAAGACAAACTAAAAATAAAAGCTATGTGATAATTTGTCAGTTTGCGTAGGTCCAGGGAAATTCCCAGAACATTTATGGAATACCTACTGTATGCCACATTCTGTTGATCATGTTTGAGACAGGCCAAGAAACCAAACAAACTTCCCTGTCTCTATGAAGTTTACTTGCTAGTGGAAGGAGAGATAGCAAACAAGGGGCGGAATAATTAAGTAAATTAAGCAGAGTAGTGAAGGTGATTGTCACATGGTAAATATCAAAAAGCAAGTTAGGAGGGGACTTAGTGTACCAGGAGTGAGGAAGAGGGATTAAGGTTTGGTTATAATACTAAAAACAGCAACCCAGGAGGTCTTGTTGAGAAGAACCTTTCAGAAAGATTTCAGAAGTGAGGGGTGAACTATGCATGTCGTAGGGGAAAAGTATTCTAGGCAAAGGCTCTGAGGTGTGACCTGCCTGGGATGGTCAAGGAACAGCAAGAAGGTCAAAGGAGTGGTAGCCAAGTGAGTGAGACGGAAAGATCTAAGAAATAAGGTACAGGACTTGTCTTTCACTTCTCTTCCCAACATTTCTTACAAAGTCACTGTATACTGGTTTTTGGCAAAGCAGTCCACATGCTGATAGACATGCATTGCATGGCTGGAAACAGGGTGAGGTGTCTAAAAGGTGCCACTCTGGTGGCGAAGGGTGAGAAGCTCCTTTAATTTTGCATGTGAAGGACCTCACTTGTCTTACCTTAGTCCCGGTCCTGTTTCAGAGAATCTCTGCTCTGAAATTCTGCTCTGAAATGCCCACAAAACAGCTATGTTTGCTGTCTGGAATTTCTCTTCCCCTGACCTATCTTTGCCCCCATATCTGGCATCTCTGCTGGAACTATCTATCCTGCAAACACACACATGATCAGGAGGCAAAGCTGGTAATGCTGTTTCTTGCTGTCTGTGGTGACCTCCCTTCCTCCTCCAACTCCCTCTAGCTCCTCTCCTTACTTCCTCCCCTGCGACCCCACACCCCTCTAGCTACAGCAGGCAGAGAGGGGAAGCAGTCGTTTGGGCCACATCCAGTCCTTTAGTCTCTAAATAAGTCAGTGAGTGTGTGGACATGGTTGAGAGACTGTGTTTCCAGAGGCCAAGAATAGCTCTCCCATCAGCCCGCGACTCTGAAACGCAGATGTGACTGAAGAAGCTCTCGTCCAGTCCAGTGCATGGGAGAGCCACTCCACGCTGACTTGATGACTGAGGCCAAGCGGCCAACACTCCAGATAAAATACACTGGTTTTAGAATGTGCCTGATGTTTATTTGACTCCCCACTTCCTCCCACCCCACTCTTAAGGAACTCAAAGCACCTTGAGGGGACAGGAATGGGGAGACTCCTGGCAATGGGTCACTGCCCAAGGGTGACAGTCCTTATTCAGTAACAGCACATCTGTGAACATGAGCTGTCTCCCTTTTCAGAATCATTTTCATCGTCAAAACACAGATTAGTCTAAATTCCCTCACCCCACAGCAGGGTGACCTGCTATCCCCTTGTTTCTTAAAGGTTAGGGTGGGTATCACAGCTCACAATGGACATAGGTGGGAGCAGAGAGTAGACAACAAGGGAAACGAAACAACATGATTTCCATTATTGAACAACAAAAGGCTTTAAAGTGATCAATTTTAGGAGCAGACATAACTTTTAAAGGTGTTTGATCAGACTTGAAGTCTATCCACGCTTTTATTGCAAAATTCAATGAGGGGGGCTATTTTTCTTTAAATGTTACATTGTAGCCTAAATTTAAGAAATTATGAAAAGTCTAATTGCCTAGAACTAACATAGCAAACATATTTTAAGGTGCTAATGATATTACTTTTGAACACATTACTACTGTCAAATATAGTATCTTTGATCAAGAAATCCATTTCTCTAAACTGAAACCTCACTGACCTTTGAAAATCTTGCTTCTTTTTTGTTGCTGTCTCAAGTGGTAGCTGTTTACTTTCTCACATTCCAAGTGCCCCAGAGCTAAAAGCTCAAAGTTGGGATTATTATTTGCTCTTCATGCTACTTCTGGAGCTTCTCAATCTTTTTATTTAAAAACAAAACAAAAACCAGTTCTCATGAGGCAATCAGAAGAGCTTTCTCCCCTTTTTCTCTTCTGCCATTTGCTGAGCTCCCCCTCATTCAGCACAGAATGGCAAACGACTCACAATATTCCTCATCCAAATCTTTGTCGCTAGTCTTGGTGACCTTAACATCTAATTTATCCATTATTCTGGGCTCTCAGCACTTTGACCCCCCCAATTTCAGTGGTCTAGTCCACACTGCACCCCAAGTACCCATACACACAGATAGTTTCTTTGGTTGGTGAGCACATGGGTTAGGAATCCACAGCTAGTTGTGTGGTTGCTCAGATAATCCAAGCCATGGGATCATAGGACCTGTACTCTGTGTCCTCTGGCTCTTTTCAAATGATTCCTTTTCAAAGAGGTGAGGAATCTGAGTCAGCAAAGAGAACATATCCATGAAGCCCACACATCCCTTCTGGACCACAGATTTCCCCCAAATGGTCCCCAAACTTCTAGAAGTGGCTCTCTGCAGCGGATGTGAGCAAACCTTGTATAGTTGAGATTGAATGTCCACATGCATGAATAGGAGGCTTTTATGACTGGTGGAAAGAAATGGGAGATGGATGACCAAATATATTCATTCCTGGCTAATTAGAATAGCTGATGCTTCTTTATCAAATTATAACTTTAGCCCTGTCTCCTAGCTTGGATTTATTAAGAGATCAAATGATCTTTTAGGGTTATTTATGCTTATTTACAGCATCCAGTCAATAGCAAAGCTCTGCTTCTTTGAATCCTCACCTGACTCACCTAATACTAATCCAAATCCTCCAAGTCCTCTTTAACATACTTTTGCTGAAAGAGCTTATTTCCCTATGACATCTGTGTTCCCAGGGCCAACTTTGGCTAAAGGTGTGTTTCTAGCAGATTCTGACTGACAGGTAAGTGCCAAAAGCCAATCTATAATAGTCAATATTCCATTCTATCATCAGAATGTTACCTGATGTAACAATTTAATAGTAGTCATTAATATCATCACCAATTCATCTCATTACCATAATCATCATCATTTTCTTTTTTATTATCAACAAAGTAAAATAAGCTAGAGACTAGGCAATAATATTAATCAATCTCCTAAACAATGTGAAGTTAAAAAAAAAAAGACACAAAATAATGGCTACTACAGTGTGAATCAATTTATAGCAAGTTACAAAACTGGCACAACTATATTGTTTCAGGCTGTGCAGCCCTGCAGACAGCTCTAAAACTAGCCAAGTCACCATCACTGAAATGTTGAGGAGTATCGTCCTTGGGGATAAGGTCTATCTGATGGGAATAGGTTCAAGGGGCATTTTGGGGTGTTTGTAAATTTTTAATTTCTTGATATCTTGGTAATATTACATTATGTGGTAGTTACATGGCACACACTTTATATCTATTAGTGAGCTTGTCAAATAAATTGTAAGTATTCTCTATTATGTAGATTTCACAAGGATAAATTGTAAGAAAAAAGAATGAGTGCTAAGTAGGCAGCTAAATCGACATTTCCTTCTATAATGTAGTTTCCTTAGATTATACTTAGCATGGAGAAATTAACCTGATGCCATTATTCATGGATAAACTGCTAAATTTAACCTCTGAAACTGCAAAGATGATTAATGTGCTAGTGATTTAATTGCAGCCACTGGGACTCTTTCCCTTAGTGGGCTTTACCCAAAGGGTAAGTTCTCCCCAAAAGTCTCTCTTAGTAATATGCATCTCCTCTACCTTGAAGGATATTTCAGTTGTCATGGTGAACCCATGGGTGATGACAGGTTCCTCTTCTGCAGTCCGGCCCTTCCAGCAGTCTAGCTCCACACAGCGACAACCTGATAGGAGCACTTGGCGATACATCTCAACCGAGGAGTTTCCAGCCAGCTGGCCAGCTGTAAAATACAAAAAAAAAAATAGCTTCCTGAATCCCATGAAGCAAGGAATACCTCGGTGACTTCCTAAAAAGTTCTTTGACAAGGGTCTGCCCCCTCCCTGGTGGTGCAATGGGTTAGGACTCAGCATTAAGCTAGATGCAGCCACTTCTGTGCAAGTTCGATCTCCGGCCCTGGAGGTGATCCACATGGCACAGTAGACCTCTCCTGTCTTGCCCGCTGCTCCCCTCAGCAATGTACTTTAAAAAAAAAAAATTCTTTGACAATAGGAAGACAAAGAGTTTCAGAACTTGAGCAGTTTTTTCAGCCTTTCAACAAACCAGAAGGTAGTGGCAAAATCCCAGTTGTAATGGTCCTAACCAATGGTTTGGGTGTTAGAGAAGACAGAATGAGGTTGTTGTGACAATCACAATAACTCATTTATCTACTAGGTAGTAAGTTAGTTCACTGGATTTTACATGTATTCCATGTATCCCCCCCCTCAAATATCACTGATTTGCCAATTGTTTACACAGCTATATAATTTGGGGAGTAGAACTTCACACACCGCCATATGAGCACATATTTCACACACCCTCCACCAAAGCTCCAGTGCCATGATCTGTGTGGCAGTCCCTATCACAGTCCCTCTCCCAGCCTCTTGTCACTCCCTTACCATTCCCACTGGTAACCACAGTATTTTTCACAGAGTCTAAATGTTTTGTTAGCTTGTTTTCTTTGGTTATTTATATTCCACAAATGAGGGAAGCCATTCAGTAACTATCTTTCATTTTTGGACTAATTTCACTTAGCATATTCACCTCAAGATTCATTCATTTTGTCACAAAAGTCACTATTTCATCTTTTCAAATAGCTGAGTAGTACTCCATCGAGTTTATATGCCACAAATTCTTTATCAAGTCTCATCTGTCTATGGGACACTGACACATCTCTGTCAAAGATGAACTGTCCATATTTGTGGGGGCTTATTTCTAGATTCGCTATTCTATTCCACAGGCCTGTGTTTTTGTTTTTGTTCCAGTATCACATTAGTTTGATTATTCTCACATTGTTTGAAGTCCGGGAGTAGGATTTTTTTGAAGCCTAAAATCTAGTGAATTTTCCTTCTCTAAAGTCCCCAACTCCTCTTAATTATATCCCATCTACACATTACATTTCCATTTGAGAGGATCCACAAATAGAGCTTCTGGGGCCAGGGGAGTGCTAGGGTTAGGATTAATGATATGTCATGAGTCACTCAACCCTTGTTATCTCTGAAACCGGTATCTGACATCATCTCTGCCTGCTGAGAACACACTCTAGAGTACATTCCAAGCCTAGGGTTGAACTTGAGCCTTGACACTCCATTTCAGGTTAATAAATAATGCTGCCCCAAATCAAAACTTTGCCACTTCACACTTGGCTGCATTTATTTTGGGCAGCTGACTACATTCACTTGAGCTTTGTTTCAGATTACCCAAGGCATCCATGGATGGAAGAGACCAGAAAACTGAAAATAAAAATCCTTCCATTAACATAGGTTTCTGAGGAGTTTCTTTTCTTTCAGAATGATGATTGTCTAGGCTTATAGTTATTGTCTTTTTAAAAATGACTTTCTTATTATTTTAAAATTTACTTATTTATTTCTAAACACATTGTTTACTTTTTTCACAACATAGGGTTTTTCTCCACTCAGGTGCATTCACTATAGTTTTCCCACCATGGTTTTCTCACCATCATACTCTACAGCACAATCCTCTCCTCCTGTCCTTTATTATTTTTAAAGATTCATTTATTTATGCATACAGAATTGGGGTACAGGCAGAGGTGTAGGGCTGGTGAGAGGGTTCACCAGAGGTAGAGGGAGAGCCAGGAGCAGATTACGCAGATCAATGAGGTACACCACTGAGGGGAGCTGCGGGAGAGACAGGAGAGTTCTGCCGCGCCATGTGGACCACCTCAAGGGTATGAGATCGAACTTGCACTGAAGTGGCTGTGGCTAGCTCGCAGTGTTTTGTGCCACCAGGGAGGGCCCTTCTCCTGTCCTTTATCCTCCCCCTTTCCCCTTGAGTGTCTCAGATCTATGGACTGCTTTTAAGAATCAGTTTTACAGTTTCCTGTGTCTGATCCTTTGTTTAGTTTCTCCTGATTCCACATATAAGTGAGACCATATGGCATTTATCTTTTGCCTTCTGGCTCACTTAGACTAATCTCTTTCAGTTCCTTCCATGTTACCACAAATGACGAGAGTTTATCTTTTTTTGATTGCTGAGTAGTATGCCACCGTGCACTGTCTTCTTTTTATATTCATAAATGAAGGAAAACATACAAGCTTCCAAATGTATTTGTTAACTCAGTAGTCTTCTACAATAAACATCATCTCAATAAACAGCAACAACATTTCTCCTTGCTTTTAATAGGGTGGCCACCATTGAAGTCACATAATCTTGCAACTACTCCTGAGACAACTGTCTAAAATAGAGAGGATATATAGTTTGCCATGCTGTCTTTAGGTGTACCTGATTGCCCTCTCCCATTGTGTGGAACTGCTCTCTTAGTGAGATCATGGAACTTTCTTGATTATAGATAGAACTGCCATGAGAAGGCTTAGGTAAGAAAATGAAAAAAAAAAATTAAGATGTGCTTTACTGATTATCATAGCTTCACCTTCAAGGTCTGGGCACATTCCCAACATTCCCAAACACAGTCTTCATAGGAAGCAAAATACTGGTTGCTGGAGACACTAAAATGATACAAGACATATTCCTGTATTTGTGATGGAAAAGGGGAGGCAGATACAAATAAAGAAGAAGGTTCTTATGTGCCAAATAATTAAAACTCTCACCTAACCTTATACTTCAAGTTGGCCTTTCTTTCTCTTGTTTCCCTTTCTCTTTACCAGTATAGAATATTCTACTTTGGTTCTGATAAACTTCAGTTTCCCAGTTCCGGAGTAAAACTTTGTAGCTAGTCACAATAGTTTCACATTTGTTATTATGGACACACTGAGTGACTTAATGTTGGGCTGTATGTGGTATGGCTGTCTCTAAAAGAAGTCCCATGGGTGACATTGTGTGGGACATCTTCACTCCTACAAAAAGCCATGACAGGGACAATTGTTTCATAGGAAGGTAAAGCTTAGGGTGCACAGTGATCTTGAAACTAAGGGGAGCAAAAAGATGGAAAGTATCTGGGTCTTAGCATCTGATATCCATGAATTCCTGACTCAATCAACCTTCAACCATTCCACTTCTGAAGTTCATGAGGTCTGAGGTAATAACTTCCTTAAAGAAATAGTGTCTCTTTACTTGTAGCCAAAAATATCTGGCTGCTTCAATGTATCTTCATTTTATAAATAAGAAGATAAGTTTTAAAAGAGCTAAGCACATCATTTACTTCCAGGCAAATTTGAATTTGGTATGCTTATTTGCTAGGGTGATCTAGCACTCAACATTCATTGGTCTGCATGTGCTTTATGTCAAAAATAAATGATTAAAAGTTGCACATATTAAGGGCTAAATGAATGGGGAGATGTAACAGAAGGGAGTGGTCCACAATTTGGGTTGGTAATGAATGACTGGCAAGGACATAAAAGATTGCATCTTGAATCCTTTTTAGAACTTTTCTGAAGCCAAGAGCATATAAGTGAGGAAGAGAGTTGAATAACTAATTTGTGATATTCAGATCATCCTGTTTAGCAGGGCACTCCCTAGTGGCCTGGGGTTAAGTCTCAGCACTAACAGCTGCAGCCTGAGTGAGAGTACCAGCCAGGGACCAAACCCACACATGGTGCAACAGACCTTTCCTGTCTTGCTGCTGCTCTCCTGTTTCAGTAGACCTGCCTGTTCTGTGCCTTACTGTGTCTCTGATGAACCCTCACCCCTGCACCACTGGCCTGTACCCCAGTTCCTCTACACACACACACACACACACACACACACACGCTAAATGTATTCATCAGAGGGATAACTAAACCCTCAAACCCAGTGTTGTTGTTGTTGTTGTTGTTGTTTTTCCTATATGGAATAAGGTTGCTAATTATCCAGTTATACCACTTTGCCTTGCCTAAGTGTATATTAAGCCAAATTGTATCAAATTGTTTGGAATATGGTATTTCAAATACATTATTTATCAAGTACTGAAAAAGTGTAAGTTGAAATGATTGCATACTTTCTGTCCTGAGACACAGAAAGGCAAAATCATAAGGGCAAATTCCTCAAGGAAAAACAATAATTTAAAACATAATCACTACTTGATGTACTGCCAAGACTATCTAAAACCCTAGAAAATGGCTACTGCAATTAAAAATCACTCTGTATATATATTTCTCTAAACTGCATGACTTATTTCCCTTCTGGTAGCTTTATATCAACAAAGGGGCAATACTGGATAGAGGAATAAACATAATAATAATAATGCAATGCCAAATTGACTGGTTTTTATGTTGTATATTTAATTTTTACAGTCCCTTTAATGTCCAAAAGAAAGCTTTCTAAATACTGAAATCTTTCCTGTATGTTGTAATTTTAGTTGAACTTAGACTAGTATTCCTCAGGAAACAAGTCCTTAACGCTACAAGAAAATAAGTTAGGGTGATATGTGTGTGTGTGTATATATGTATGTGTGTGAGGAGGGTTGGTGTTAACTTTAATAATTGTGACTCTAGAAACTTTTCACCTTGTATTCAAAACAATGGCAGAATTTACCAACCTTCATTTTCTACCTACTATTTTAAAAACTTATATGAATATGAACATTTACATTTTTCCACAAAATATTCCTTATGTTAAAAATTGTTTTTATAGAAAGTTTCCATTTGTTCTGGACATGGATATAAAGTAGAAAACCTAATAAGTTTTCTGGGTATTGATTTTAATATTTAGTTGATGCGTACATTTTATTGTATTTTTCTTCATAATATTCTTAATTGGTTTTGGAAAGTTTGAAACACTGCATCATCAATGTTTTTATTTGCCCAAAGGCACTTAAGAGATAGGAGTTCTATAATGGGCTTATCTGTA